ATAAATGGAACACAGAAGGAGAATGGAGGATCCGGTGGTTTTGATGAGGATCAAAGATACAGAATTAAGTGTGGATGGGTGAAGTGCAGAGAAGAATCTGGTGTGTTATGTGATAAGAGAATTACAATGAAGTAGACAGTTAAGTTCTATTAAACTATAGTGTGACCAGCTATGGTATATATTTCAGAATATTGGGCGGTTGATGTTAAATTTTATATCACAATTTATGGTAGAAGAACAAAGACAAATTAATGGCAATGAAATCCAGAAAAAAATGGCGAAAATGTGCATTCACAACAAAAAAATCATTTAGAATACAAAAACAAAAAATATCAAAATTTGGTAATTATTCTGGAAATTAATAAGATAATGATAGAAAACCAGATAGATTCTATTTTTGTAAGAAGTCAGGTCATTGGAAACGTGATTGTTGGATTTTGAAATAAAACGGATAATATAAAAATGAATCCAATCTTGTAAATACACCACTAGGCGTTAATTCAGTGGTAAATAAAATTAGTAATTCAGCTAAATGCTATGTAGACTCCGGTGCAAGTGATCACATGACCAGTAAAAGAGAGTGATTCACAACCTATGAGACGTTCGAAATTCAATTGCCAGTACGCATTAGTGATGGCAGATATATTATGCCTATTAGTAAAGGTATATATAGTTCAGCAAAATGGGTTGACAGTTTTTTCAGATGTTTTACATATACCTGAGATCAAAGTAAATTTGTTTTCACGTGGAGCGTGCCTTAATATAGGTATAATAATGATAGCAAACAAAAATTTTTGTACATTTTAAATAGGAAATAGTACAGTATCTGCTGAAGTTCGTGAGAATAAATTTATTTCGATAATTATTAAAACTAGAATTTCGCAAGAGATAGATCAAGTAAAAATTGCAAACAAAATTCTTAAATCAGAACTATGGCATCAAAGACTATGTTATCAGAATGTTTAACATGTTAGAAATTACCTAAAGCATATGGAAATTCAATTCACAAAAACTAAAAACAAATTTTTCTGCGAAGATTGCATATATGTTAAACAGCACAGAGAAACATTTATACTAAGTAGTAACAAAATCAGGTAGAATAATGCAGTAATGTTTGTAAAAAGAAAATTCCCTTGGTGGTAAAAGATACTTTGTTATATTACAAGATAATAACTCCAAGTGTTTGTATGTATATTTTATGAAACAAAAATTAGAAGTAAAAAAAAGGCTTGAATTATTCATACATTCGGTGAAAAATCAGCTAATCTGTTTTTATTAGAAATATTAATTAAATTTGATTCTACACGAGGAAATATTGGGTGGAGATTTATAACTATTTTAGATAAGTAGTATGGTATTCAGCATTTTCACTTTTTAAGAATAAATTAATTGTACGATATGCGTTATATACATATATACGATATGCGGTGATTTAGTTTGAAGTTTTAAATTATTTATTAATGATCAGTAAGTGTAGTGTCAGAGTCAATTTACTCATACATGAATGCCTATGATAAATATGAGCGGTGGAAAACAGTAATATTTTTATTAATTACATTATTTTGAGTATCAGTTATTATGTTATAAGATTTTTTCTTCGTTATCTAGCATATGTAAATGATTAGGTTGGATTGAGTATCAATTGGTATAAAAAATAACAGTCGATCGTTCGGCTAATTTTTCATTATGTTATATTTAAACAAGAGTTGGACTAGTTTATTCATTAAAAATAATGCTCACTAAACATATAATAGTTCTTTATAATTGATACCCACTTTAAGTAAAGACAGAAAAGAAATAAGTTAATAATAATTTATATTACGTGATTCTGATTCATTTTACATAACAATAATAGCTTTAAATATTGAAATAGAAAATACATGGTTACATTTTACATTCCACACAGAACTCCTTAAATTATAAGGTAAGGTTATATCTTTAAAAAAAAAATATAGGAACTTATTTTTGTGGCAAAAAAAGAAAAAATATTATACCTAAAAATAACATTAAAATTATACAAATTTTAGTAATTATACAAGCTTTAACTTGACCAATAACTAATAATTATAGTACCAATAATCAGGGTTGTCATAATTCCGTAAAAATTAATTCATAAGACAAAATGTATTTCCATTATCAGTTTTTTAAGTATATTTAGAAATATAAGTACGTTTTTAATCAAGTAAAACATATTTTCAGTTTCTGAACATAGTTATGAAAAAAAATATAAAATAAAATATATCACAAAAAATTTGTTTAGCAATGTGAAAGATCTTAGAATGAGGTATATAATCAGAGATCTTGATCAAAATAAAGATTCAGAAGCTATTCAATGTCTACTCAAATATTGTTCATATCTTCTTAAATGAAGATTCTTTTTAATTACCTAAAAAAGAAACAGATAATCGTGTACCTAAGTTAAGAAATTATATGATAAAGTTAAACTATTGTTTTATGTCAACGACAAAGTAAAGTTGTATTTAAATATCCAGTTACCTGTAGGGGAATCCATAAGGATTATGGGCCTAACAACCTCGCGGACCCTAGTTAGTTCAGTGGGAATGGAAACACGTACGACTACTCTTAGCCGGTCATGACTTTGGTTAGTTGGGACCGGTAGGCCTGGGCATAGCATATTTGCTAACAGCAAATAGGCCCCCCTAATCCAGCCATACCGAGTGAAAGGGTTGCTAACTTGTCACAGGGTAATTAGCCGAAAGGTAAAGTGACCATTGGGATCCTCTATGGCGCCTGGCGCACCATAAAGTATACAGCCTTATCACAGTATCGAGCTCTACTGTGATGGACCTTAATTCTTGACTACTCGTGGGAACTATATGGATAAAAACATACAAACACCACAAAATAACGAACTTGGGACGAACTTATTAATTATTGCAAAAACGAAAAATTAGAACTCATCCTAGGTATGGGTGCTAATGCACACCACACTATTTGGGGGAGCAGTAACATCAACCAAAGAGGAGAGGTAATAATGGATCTATTGCTGACTACAGATCTTAGTATACTGAATAGAGGTAGCGAACCTACCTTTGAAATCAGGAACAGGCAGGAAGTCATTGATCTGACAGTTTGCTCAAAAGGGTTACTTCAAAAGATAAAAGGGTGGAAAGTGTGCTCCGAACCTTTTCTTTCTGATCATAGGCATTTACGATTTACTTTGGACATTAACAAAGTTAAGACGGAGTACTATAGGAACCCGAAAAGAACAAACTAGGACAATTACAGGGCAGATCTTTCTCGTAACCTGAATAACCTACAATTTAGATTGGGGTCGAGACAGAGAACTGAAAGGACTGTAAATATACTACAGAACTCCATTGTCTCTGTTTACAAAGAAAACTGTCCTTTAATAGAAAGGAAAGGTACAGGACAGGGTGTAGCTTGGTGGAATGCTAACCTGTCTAAATTAAGAAAGAGTTCACGTAAGCTCTTAAATAAAGCAATGAAATCAGGTTTGGAACAACACTGGGAATCCTATAAGGACGCCTAAAGGAACTACAAATCTTTATTAAAAAAGTCCAAAAGAAAAAGCTGGAAGAAGTTCTGTGGGGATTTACAACAACTCCCTATAGCAACTTGACTTCTGCGATCACTGAGGAATGGACCAAACAAAACTGTCGAGGCAATACTACTGCCAGACGGAATGTTCACCAATAACGATAATGAAACATTATCAAATTTGATGAACACACATTTTTCTGACTCGGTAATTAACAATAGAGAACAGACACATGATGCACAGGACAAACGTGTGACCTGTGCTGATTGGAGACTAACCAGGAAAGTGATAACCCCAAGTGGAATAAGATGGGCAATAAAAGCCTTTGGCAGTTTTAAAGCTGCAGGCTGTGACGAAATTTTCCCTGCACTTCTGCAAGAAGGGTTAAAGATAATCGTCCCCCATCTCTGCAAAATATTTAGGGCGTGCCTTAAATAGAACCACTTATTATTAAGTGTATAGAATCCATTATTAAGGAATGCTCTATTTTGGTACAGCTCAATGAGCCTAAAGTAATCAAGAGTGTTAAACAGGGATGCCCACAAGACGGGGTTCTATCCCCATTGTTATGGTGTCTAGTATTGGACTCGCTTATTAGAGAGTCAAACAAATATTGTTATACACAAGCTTAGGTAAGCTAAAATGGATATCTCATATTGAGTCAAGAATCAAAAAAGCAATGACCACATTGTGGACTTGCAGTAGAGCCTTGGGAAAGACATGGGGTCTTAAACCAAGAGTTATGTATTGGTTATACACATCAGTAATTAAACCTATGATATTGTACGGTGCCCTAGTCTGGTGGACCAGAACAGCACTCGTTACAGCTAGAAAAGAACTTAGTCGCATACAGAGAATGGCTGCTATGGCCATCACTGGAGCATTAAGAACTACACCAACGGTAGCATTAGAAGAACTAATTGGATTGCTTCCTTTGTATCTAGAGGTGAAAGCTCACGCCAAAGCCACAGCACTAAGATTCCACAACTTAGGTATATGAACTTTGGAGAGTGATACAACAGAACATGGTAAAATACTAAAAGCGATAGACCAGGGCTTTTTGTAATACTCCTTGGACTATATCAAACCGGTTCTTAAGAATAACATTTCCTACAAAGTTGAGATCACTACACATAGAGAATGAAATATTAACCACCTGACTAAAAATAGAGGATTTGTGATATATACAGATGGATCCAAAAAATCAGGAAAGTAGGTGCTGAAATTTGGGGTTTAAAGCCACGAATAAATGTCCGTATGTCATTGGGCACAACACCCTCTGTTTTCCAAGTGTGAACCTTATAATATTAGTCTCTCATGATAGTCCAGTATCCCTCTAAAAATCACTATTTTACCAAGTTGTAGGGTCTAACGAGGCGCAGGCTTGTAAGACCCAGACGGTCTTAGATCGGAAAGGAGCTACTGCTAGGTAAAGCCTAATATAATAAAATTCAATAAAGTTAATTTTATAAAATAATTATGTTTTGTATAGTTTATATTTATTTTGAACGTGAAACAAATTAATTTTTCATAGTAAGAAATAAATGCTGTTTTAAGTTAATCGGGTTCCTTTTTCAGTTATTGCTAGATGATGAATTGTTGAACCAAGATAACCAGTACTCTCTAATGGATTAGATTGAAAAAAAATGTATAATCTAAAACAAAAAACATATCTGTAGTTAATATTTAAAAGCTAATAGGTCACAAAAATTGATTTTTAAATTTTTTTATAATTTGGCATATATGATGATGCTTTTCCGTAGTGGTAGATAATTACTGGAAGTATTTTAAGTATAAGTACTGGATTAGTACTAATAAGTACTAATCTTATATAAGTCTATAGAAAAGCCCTGTCTATAGAAAAGACGTCAGATAATAATACAATAGAACAGTCATTTGCCAATATTGGTGTGGCACACAGTGGAATGAAACGCCGATTTAGGCGGCCAAAAGTATCATTTTTTAAAAGTCACTTAGATTTTTTTTTTTTAGCAAAACACATTAATATCATACTTAAGGGTTTTAATACAAATTTTCAAGGGCATAAGTTGATTTAGTGAAGGTGTAGAGCTATTTTAATGTTATACTTCTAAAATTTATCCGTATTTTCAGTTATTTTCAGTTTATTTTTGTACATTTTTTTTATGCCTTAAAACATAATTTAAAATTAAAAAATTTTTTTATTCCTATTAAAAAAGATATCCTTTTTCAAATGAAATAGAAAAGAAAAAGTTTTTTTTCTATTTTTGTGGAATTTAACAAATTTATACTTAAAAACCCAGCACAGGGGGGTCGCGGCACAGTGATAAGGTGGCATAGTTGGATCAAGTATAATGATATTTGACAGTGATTAAAATCACTATAAAAAAAAAACGCTTCGATGCAAATCTTTAGATTGTGTTTAATTTAAAAAAAAAAACCCAGCACAGGGGGGTCGCGGCACAGTTGTGACGTGGTATAGTTGGATCTAGTATAATGATATATGACAGTGATTAAAATCACTATCAAAAATAAACGCTTCGATGCAAATCTTTAGATAGTGTTTAATTTTAAAAAAATTGGTGTTTTATTCCAAAAGCTACTTGAT